CCCCCCCCCCCCCCCCCCCCCATACCTCACTGATATTCATGATCAAATCTATACCAATCGCAACGGAGCAGTGGTGGGGAGCACATTCACTCAAATATTGTAGTTGTACATTGCTTTATACGAGCCACATTTAAAATAAATATGTTCATTTGACAATTATAGAAACTTTGCATATTGAGATTTTACACACGAAATGCATTATGAGTTTATGAAATAAGATGTTTATTCCAATAGGTTACACCTCAGTATAGAAAGTAGCTCAACCAGCTGCAACATTACACATTCTAATAGGCATTTTGGTAATTCATACAGATTTTTACATTTTAACAAATGTATTTATTAGCTAAGAAATCATTAAATTATGCATTCAAATGCAATACAGATTAGCCAGTATAAAGGACAGCTTTTGGGTTGCAAAGTTGTAAAATAAAATCTATTTTCCTTCAATGTGTTAATCTTCAATAAGCATAACTGACTTTGTCTTTATAGCTATTGAGCTAATTCATTCATCAGGAAAGAGCCTCTAATTGGCTGGTTCAACCACTTAATTTCAGCAAAAGAGCTGCAGACCAGAATTGATTTACACCTGGTGCCTCATTAAAAAATTGCAGTTAAAAATTGTATTAAGTCATTACTAAATGGTTCTTCAGCAATAATCCACTAAAGGAAGTACCTTATTTAAAAAAAAAAAAGAGGGTTGTGGAATTCTCCTTTTCATATATCCATTAGGTTGCAGTTGTAAATAATTAATTAATAATTTTGTAACAATTCATTTTGGTTCAGATTCTCTACAGTGGTTTCAGTTCAGAAGGAGCATAAACCATTAAGTGGCCTCCCTGATGGGGGAAACAAACCAGGAAGAGAAATGTTCTCCAACCTGACAACTCATAGGTTGTGTTTACAAACTGGTTATTATTGATCTATAAAACAGTAATATGTTACCTATTAACCAATGATAAAGTCTATAGTTGTAATTCACCAACCGCCTCTGAATTGTAGAGGAGTAGAGGTATAAAGTCAGAAAAACGATTTTTAGTTTCCGATGATTACACACTACTGAAGATATAGTTATAATATATTCCATTTTTGACAATAAATCCCCTTAAGTCCTGCACAATGCTCCTTTAAGTAAATGTACTTATTCACCTCCTACCACTGGGAGCTATGGGCCACAAGCAGCGCTATGGAGATGACATTTAATGAGTTGGTCTCCGTTTTCATTCCACATGCAGTAGAACACACATGTACACGCACGTGTGCGCACGCCAGTGACGCTACACATGGGCCTGCCAATGGTTTCATACTAGGCAATTGTATTGACCGACATGTGCCGGAAATGCACCGAGATACTCGACAATGAACCAACAAAGGCAGTGAAGAAGAAGACTACTTCTCATTTCCCTATTTTTTTTGGCCTCCTCGTCGATCCTTTGCAAAAGTCTTTTCGTCATCTGTGACATATAAAAGAGGCATGACACATTGTTGTCACATTATCCCACGTTGTGAACAAATTTAGAAAAGTAAATATATAAGTTGTCATGAACACTGTTCTGCTCATCAGACAGAGTTCATGGAATACAGCGGTGTAACTAAACAATGGACAGCTGATGCAGCTGTTCCACGCCTCATCTTTAATTGATGTTGTTTTTAACTGACGGCTTCGAGGATGTTTCACTCTGTTAATTGCCACGACTCCTCCGCTTGCTTCTCAGGTGTGAAGGGACTAAGAATTGAAGAGAGGAGGCGAGGAAATTAATCGAGTATGTGAGAAATGACAAGAGCCTATAAGCATCAATGTAACCGATGCAGGCTAACACTTTGTGTGACGCCCATAGAACGCATCATAAACATGGTTACAATGTTTTATAATCTGCAAGGGTCATAGTATATTATAACTCCCACATTATACTCTTTTTATAATGCACTAAAATGTGTTTAGAAGTAATTCTAAGTGATCATTGTTTAAGTAAAATGAAGAAAATATCATTAAATCTATACAAGAACAAATTGAACAAATTGGCAAATAATGACCGCTGGGAGTAACTTATAATCATTATAATGTGATTACAACGTATTTCAACAATGGTAATTATAATACACCATGATCATCGCAAAACCAGTCAGTCAGTCCGATGCAAGATTCAAAATATTTAATAAATCAGCTCTTCAAATGTTTTATAATGAAGGGAGTGCATTCAACACATTTGTTAGACCACGAGGACACACACAGTGCACTTTGGTGAGTAACACTGAATGTAAATACTTTTTTGTTTGTTGACTGGAGAGAAAGAAAAAAGCCACAGGGCACCTCTATGTAAAGAATGTGAATACTTATGCCACCAGTGCAATTGAGGAAGTAGCCAAAGAGAAACCATTCTTTTTGTTTTAGTTTAACGAATGGTGTTGAGACATATAACTGACCTTGTAACTCCACTCTTGTTTCTTTGTCCGGAGCTCCCTGGTTGGATTGCAGTTTGCACGTGTATTTTCCTTTCTCCTGTGGCTTCACTCTTTTCAAGATGAGGGACAGTTGTCCGTGTTTGTACTCGCAATAGAAATCTCTTAGAGAGTGTGTGTGGTTTGTGATTTGTCCCTCCATGTCCACTGAACAGACGGATTTGTCGCTCTGGAACCACTTCATGTGTTTGATTGATAGTTCCTCTGGTGGCGATGACACGTCGCAGTTCAGGGTTACCTGTTTGCCGCACTCTGCGACGATCCCGGGGCTAACACTTAGTTTCACCAACTCTGTTGATGAATACACAAATACTGTACCTGAGATGTAAAGGAAACAAACGCTTCTTGTCGCTTCAGCGTTGTAACCAACACAATCACATTGTTACACTTTACATTATTAGAACATTACACCCTGATCCTCCAACCTTTTGAAGGAAAAGGATTTACTCCCTCATCATTTTGAACAAATGTTACTTCAAATAAATGTTTCTGCACAACAAATAGTTTCACACAGGCCTACCTTGTGTTGTAAAAGTGAATGCAGGTAGAAGCCAGACAAGTGCGTGCAATAATGTGTAGTCCATTGTCGCCTCTTTGGCATTTCCCTGTAACATAGAGAACAAACAAATTCAAACAGATTTCAATGTACATTAAACACACTACAAGGATTTCTGCAGGCAGGTTGAAACTCGCGTTTGCTCTGCCGTGCTTTTGAGTGGAATTGACCTCAGGAGGGTTTGGTGCTGCTCCTCAGCTCTTCTCAGTCTCCGATCCCTTACGGTGCTCCACTGCGTGAATACCGTCCTTCAGACTTGTCCCTATAAGTGCATAAAGTTAATGATTCCAGAACTATGACCAGGAATTACAATGCGTTTTACTGCTGAGGGTGTGTGCTGGGACCCTGAACAACAAGAGGAAGTGCAAAGAAGTGTGGTGATCTGTGCTGCGTGTGTGAGAGCGAAGAGAGTGAAGCCCTATTCATGAAGAAGTGAAGGCTGCAACAAGTTGAGACTTGTATGAATGCCTTTGATGTGTTGCAGCAGAGCTCTTTTTTTTTGCTGAATCTAACATCCATGTAGATTTTCCCATGAGGTCATTATGACTATTTGATCTTGCTCAAACTCCATGGCAATAGCCACTGGGCAAAGTCTTTAATCTATTATATGTTTCAAAGGGTCTTTCTCACTCGGTTGAAGACTTTTTGGAAATTCATTAGTCATTTTATCAGAAGCAGTCATGTAATCATGGAATATTACTATAATCGTCCCCCCCACACACACACACACTGGTCAAAACATTGTTTCACAAGACACACAAATGCTGATAAACAATGACTCATGCTTCTGGCCTTCACAAGCTTTATAAATCTGTTTTAGGTTTCCTCTTCATTTATTGATTTTGGTGATTTTGGAATCAGAGTCAGTTTCTGTGTGACAGTTCAATTTTGGAAAATGGGGGGAATGTGACACAGGTGATGGGGAAGCTGTATTTTTTGTGCAAAAGTCTTGCTACATGCAGCTTTCACGTCCATACACAGATCACCTACTTATTCTAATCTGATTATCATCACCAAATACCAGAAAGAGATCAAAACAAACTCTGAAATTATCCTACTTCAGCTAGACATCACTAATGCTATATAGGGATTCTGTGTTGACACCGCTAAAACAGTTTGGCGAAACGTGGGGATACAACATATTTTTTATTGGATCAGGATATACAGTCAAAACTTTGGAAATGTAGTAAAAGGTTTTGTATTTTTTCTTTCTCTTAATTGTAAAGTGATGCCAGCATCATCCTTTAAAAACGTGTCTCTTCTAAATCCACACAACAAATTCTCGAGTCATAACACACATTGATTTGCAATGGCACTTGCAGTGCGAGTGTTAATAAGAGAGCTGATTGTCCAGTGTGTGACAGACACGAAGTAATTGGAAGTCATTTATATAATTAAGCACGAGGAGACGAGGAGCGACAGGGAGCAAGAACGGTGCCTGCCAAAGAGATCTCAGACACTTACGACAGGAGGAATCTGAGCAGTGCTCAACTGCAAAAATGAGTATTAATGTTGTGCATTAAGGTAACATATTCACGGGTTGATTTGTTAATGTCTTCCCTCTGTGTAAACATATTTACTTTGGTTCCTGGTAGTCTTTCCAATCACAAAATAATGGATAAAATGTTCTTGTCTCAAAAATGGCTTTTGTTATTTAAGGGGACATCAGTAACAAGGAACATCCCGCAGGTTGTAGTGAACCCCAAAACGTCTACGCATGAACACATACAAATCTGAATGCATCAAGATGCAGATATCCTTCACATAAATGATGGAACTCAAATTGGTAACTTGTCGTCTAATTATATTTTCCTCTCTTCAAATGGGACCAGCACCTTGGTGTCCTTGTTCAAATAGACAACAGCACTGCATGCAAAAATACTGACAAAGGATCTGAAAACTGTGTGGCACGCATGAGTGGTGTCCGCACCGGCCCACACAAAACGAAAAGCCGTTCAGCCGCAGGAGGATAGAGCATTCATCAGGAGACAAAGACACTGAATAACACCATAACAATATCATACTTTTTCTGCCTTTGGATCTTGGAGACCACAGTCATTATTACTTCCTGCTTCACGTACCTTGTTGTGGCGGAGTAGATGCAGTTATGCGCCATAGAATCAGTGTTCCGAATCCCTCCGCCAGGTTTCTCCCATTTCACTTAAAAGTGGAGAAAAGAAAATGGAATTAAAATGACTCTCGTGATCTGGTGTTATTACATTACATATGCACATATTGGATGCATGTTTTATGCATAATGTGTTGACTTCTTCCTGCCGCACATACAGTATGCCTACTTGGAGCAGCACAACAGACAGCAGTCAGTCATGCTAGTGCATCTAAACAACTTCATCAGCAGAAGCAGGTCAACTGATACACCTTTAGAAGTGGTTGACATTTAATCTACCCGACACTCTCCAGTGAGCCCGTGTCTCTTGTCTGCTGCAGCATCTGTTCACACGGAATACATTCTGAATTGCTGTGGTGTTGTCCTTTGCCCTGGCTGCAGGTTTTTATGTTTTTATGAGCCCACTGCGACACAATATCGTCAAGGTTGATGTTGCAATAGCAAATACAATATTAAATCAACAGTATGGGCCTTATCACCCTCAACACCACTGGGCTTGTTTTATTTTTCTCGAAACCTCAGCGTATTCATAACCCTCTGAACGCTCTTCATGGATGATCAATAATTTAGTTTTGTCTGACTCCTAATGCAACAAATTTACCCCATCACTGTTTCCTGTAGCTGTTAATCCTGCCATTAAACTTCTCTCAAGTCTCTTCTATTGACTGATGTCAACGTTTTCACTTTCACTGTTAGGAGTTATCAGCCATCAGATGACTATGACTCAAATGATAAATGTATTGTTACAGGCAGGGGTGTTTCTAGGATACATAGAAAGGGGGGGCTTAGCCCCAAGGGGAGTGGCATGTTTGCCAATCCTAATTCTTAAAGGGACCGCACACAATGGATGGAGAATGGACCTGACAGTGTCCTTAAGTATGATGATAGGCTATTGGATTATAATTTGAAGGGGGAGAAAACATACAAACCAGAACGCATGCACATATGTAGCATGTTAGAGTTATAAATAACTTGTCCATGTGAGAAACAATAGTTTAATTTAATGACATCACCAAAAAAAAATAAAAAATTAAATTTTTTTTAAAATCCAATAATGCCAAATTATTTGGGGGGGGCAGAAGAACATTTTAGGGGGGCTTCAGCCCCTAACGACGCCCCTGCTTACAGGAATGTTTCTCTCATCTTCTGCTGTGGTTGTTGTAGGTCTTTTGTCCCATGCAGTAATGCTCATTGCTGGATTGACCGAACAGGGAGTGGCAAAAGTGAGGTGTTGACGTCATGTTTTCCTCAATCGTTGTGCTTTTTGTGTGGGCCCCGCCTCTGACTTATATCTACTAGTGCTCCTTTTGTTGGAGTACTAGTCCCCCCTGGTATGCTGTGTTTAGCAGGGAATGGACTCAAACTCTTAGGCAGGCAGGTTCAATTAAAGTGAGTGATGAAAACTACGACTGAATTCCATTTAGCTACTTCAGTTTCAGGCCCCTGGGATTGTGCATGCTGGATCACAGTCGCACTGTCCTGACTTACTGGGAGACTTGAATTACAAGGAGCAATACAGTTAATGTTGTTAGTAACATGACGAGACAAAATGTCTGCTGAGGAAATTGCTAACTGGTAGAGTCTGATATGGGTCCACTAGGACGGTACAAGGTGCTCTTGAAGTCAATCTAGTTAAATGTGGAAATAGGAAAGTCCCTGCGCTTACTTTAGGCACAATGCCAATGATAAAATGCTTTTATTATTTTAGAGCATGTCAAAGTTTAACAGTTTAACAAGAGAACAAACTTTTAGTTAATAAATTCCAATTTATTGCCAGTACAAAGTAAACAGTGCTTTACCCTTTTGCATTACTGCGGGACATTCTAAATTAATATAAAAAAGTTTCGATCATTTAGCCTGTGTTAAAACATATGGCATCAATTTTGGCAAGGGTGTGAGTTTTTATTTTTATTTCGAAAGTTCAACATCAGGTCCTATGATAAGTCTATAATAAACTGTGTAGCCAAAATTTAGACACACCAAAAAAATTGAACTCTGTGAACGTGGAAAATAATATTAATATATAATCGTATGACATAAGGACATAAAAACAACTTTTTTTTAAAGTGAGTCACAAGAGTAGTCAGTGCACAGCAGGATAACAAAAACATTACATATTTATCTGGAGGCAAGCATTCAACCATATATATATATATATATATATATGTTTACTTGGATTAAAATCAAGCTTTTCTTTTTTGGTAATAATTGCAAATTACCTATTCAATTAAACTTCCTATGAAAATTATTCCAAAATGTATAGTAAACCCATGAAAAAAAAAAAAGGTCACGAGGATTTAAGACCAGTGGGATTCTCTAATCACTTCCTTGCTCAACAGTGTCTGACTTCTCTTGAGTGATGATGCTGCATTCCCAGATCCCAGCGAATTAACTTGATGAGTTCAATGTTGCTACACCCAATGTTTCTGTCAAACTTGTCAAAGCAGTGTACAAGTGTAGCACACAGTGACAACATAAACGATGACTCCATTCCATTAAGTGTCCCAGTAATGTCATTGGTGTGAGCATGCACCACAGCTCTGGAGCTGGCTCACTTAAATGGATTGCAGCCGTCATTAATGATACTAATTCCATTTAATGCTCAGTCTGTAATCTGTCTTTGGCTATGTGTGCACACACACACATGCAATACATAGAAAATTTTCGATTCACTATCACAGGGGAAACCATGGTGTCAAAGTCTCATGCCTCCCCCGCCCCACATGACAGCAGCGTTGCGGCTTAGTTACACAGCATGTCGGGTTTCATCCTGTACTTAATTGCTGTGGAGACCAGTTTAATCCATGACGCTGAGTTTTATCTGTCGCTTTAACATGATTTGCAGTAGGTCTGGTAAACCGCTAAAGTTGTTCAGCAACGGGTAAATAAAGTTTGACAGAAATTCTGAGCTCGGGAGAGTCCAGTTGTGTTTGAGTCGCACTCTCGACCTGTTGCTATGATTAATCAGGCAGATTGTTATGCAGTGCAGGGAAAACTTCACATATCAGAGTCCGGCAACTGGTGAAGTTGAAGCATTACATACTTTTTTTTTTTAGCGACAGACAAATTGTCACACTTTTTGTCAAACAACTTTTTTTCCTCAGTGCCTGTAAAATGTCAAAGATTCAGTGTCTGCTCAAAGAGTGATTTATGTGACCTTTCCTAATGCTTCAGTGATTGGAAACATCGGCCAATCTTCCAATTACTCTAATACAAAAGAAAATGAATTTGTGGAGCTCAGTGAATACATTATTTTTAATAGAATAAAATAACACTAAACAGAAGTTGTGCGGTTTTTAAATGACAGAAATGGAAACTTCTTTAAGATTACTGCATTACACGAGCATCATTGCATCAGAGTCTTGAAGATGCGGGTACAAGCAGCACTCCAATGTATCTCATTTCTGTTTAAGACTTTAGCTGTTAAACCCCCCAAAGCCCCACTAAAGCTCAGCCTCAACGAGATTTAAAGAATCTAAGCCGTGTTCGCACTTAACTCTGAAAGTTCTATAAGAATCTGCAAGCACAATATACTGCTGCTAGTTTCCATTTAAAATGCAACTGGCTCATTAGTAGTAACTGAACTGAAGCCTCCATGCTGGCATAAACATATTATGTTTTTAATACAGTTCGAAAAAGTTATGGACCTCAACAAATGCTGTATTTTATTCAGATACACAAAAGCCATATTTCCACTGAATTGTCAAGCAAATATTAATCGCACTTTGGAAATTGTGTGAATAAGGCCCGTTTCAATCAACTGCTTTGGAGTGAATATACTCTGCTTTGGTCAGAGATTGGTGCTAAAGGCTACACATGACTGTAATAAACAGAGTAAGAAGTAGAGGTTGTGAACCGAAAACAAAACAAGTCTGTTTGGCCATCCAACCCATCTACAGACGGATGGAGATCTTCAGCAATTTGTTTCCAATGGGCAAGTTTTGATTGTTATTTAATGTCAGATGCTATTGGCCATGTTTCATGCCGTTTCGAGACAAAAACAAACATTCACACGTCATAAGAATATATCTAGGACATGTGAGTTCAGTATCTGCTATGTCAGAATTTACTTGGCAATGGCATGTCATTACCCCTCATGCAAATCAATCAACTCTTTTTCAGCAAAAACAAAAAACACCTCAAGCGAATGAAAACATGTTTTTTGTTCAATTGGAGAAGTTTTGTTGAATTTTTCCCGTTTCCACACAGCTTTTCTAATGCGATACTTCAAAATGTGCCTAAAAATGTATGATGGAAACAGGACTTCAAATATCTGTGGTTAACAACTACTACTTTACAACCTCAGATATAGTTGGTTAACTAATACAAATAGGGAACAAAGTGTCCATTGTTGTGTTTTTGATACGGCTTACTCATTGGCCTCGTTGACATAAAGGTACACGCACAATAATAACTTGCTCAAAAAGTCCTAAAGGGTGAGCACATTCAGTGGTTTTCTGGATTTTCCTGAGCAGGAGGTGAATCACCAAAACAGACAAAGATGAATGCATTTACAATCAGCGGGCATGTTGGGAAAACCTGACTTTGTATCATAATCCAATTCTTTTGTATGTTTGAACAAACTTTCAGTTTCTTTCAAACTGTTGGAACTGGCTTGGCAACCATTGTTGTGTGCTTTGTAAAGCCCATTGAGATGCACTGTATAACTATGACGCTGGGCAAATAAACTTGACATTTTGTCCCTGGTTTACCTTTCAAGGGCAACAGCCAGGAATTACTTTAAATCCAATCCCTGCTGTTCTAGGCAGAGAGAGTGCTGAGATAACTTATTCCTCCTTCTTAGACGTTCGAAAACTTCTTATCTAGGTCAGCGGTAAAAAAAAATAGCTCTTGTTTACTAATGAACAGTGCTTTTTGTCAGCTTGCCAAAACCTGTCAAAAACGTGAAACTATTTTGTTTGTTAATACCGGAAAATAAGATTTATGAGCCCTTAATTAGGCAATAACATTTTACCATAAGTGTATGGTATGTGATATATATATATATATATATATGTCAGGTTAGTGTCTTTGGGTTTCCTCCAACTCAATTTGAGTGCATTACTTTGTCTTTCCAGTCAAACATGGAGGAATAGTTCCAATGTGTGTAGAGAGAGGAAAGCTTGCCGAGCAGGTCTATTAAACACATCCACGACTAAGCATTAATCCCCACGGTACCCTTATACCTTTCAGCCTCGCTGTGTGCCCCTCCCTTCCCAGCAACTTTGACTGCTGAATCCAGCCATCGGCGGCATGGTTGTAGTGCTTAGTGCAGCCAATAGTGGCGACTGGTGACATCCACAAAATGGCAGGATGCAATCAATGCTACCCTTCCCTCCTGCGTGGGCCGTAAGTGAGAGGGCAGCAGGGGAAGAGCAGCAAGGCCTTGAATTTTACAGAATGTGTTTTGCGAGCAAAG